CTTTGCTATTTACTTTTTTCTCTGCGCCCGCCTATTTGCTTAGTTTTTCTTCCATGGTGACTTGGCAAATTATGACTTGGCAAATTAAAAAAGTAAGATATTTCCGGCTGCTTTAGTCATTAAAAAATGTTTCCAGTAAATTTGACAACAATAGTTGTCAGAAATTAGCCATGATATAGGAATGGATAAAAAGATAACAGTTTATCGTTTACATTGTGATCATCATTATTGATTGTTTTGGCACTTTTGTATTCCACTGATAACTGTATTAAAAAATAATTATCAATAAACATTAAACAAAATTATCCATTTATTTCGACTCGTTAAATGTTATACTCGGAAGCCAATTGATGCTACAAACTAAATGTTGCACTAAGTAACAAAATATTTAATTATAATACTAATTGTTTTGACGCTTTTGTATTCCACTGATAACTGCATAGAAAAATAATTATCACTTCACGTTAAACAAACTAAATTGTCTTTTACTTTTATTTTTCAAACTTTCAATTTATTTCGACTCAGTAAATTTTATACTTGGAAGCCAATTGATGCTACAAACAAAACGTTGCACTTAATAAAATATTGTTTAATTATAAAACTATTCTTATCTTAGACTTTATCAATTACACTGTTTTTATGAGACTGCATTTAGTAACATGATTAATCATCAATAAAAACTCCATGTGTGCCCTGGTGTCAAATGCTGAGAAGTGGACGCGGGAGTAGAAAAAGCAGAAGTGGGTGTTGGGATAGAGGGAATGGTTAAAGCCGAAGTGTTCAATGGAGAAGGAAAATATGTGTTTACTTGAGGGTGTTGAGGAGTAAACAAAAATGTAGGCCTGTGACTGAGTTTCGCCTTTTGGTTGCGTGCTTTTAGAATTAAGTCCATGCTCTGTTGTTGAAATATCGCCCACTGTTGCTCAGATAGATTGTCTACTTCCGTAGCTAAATAGGGACTCATACATTTATTTATTTTATTGAAAAAAAATACTTATGAAAACCTTGTAAATAAATTTAAAAAGATGACAACAAATACAATCTACGTTTTAATTGAGAAATAACGATTTCTGTCAAGATATTAGAAGGCCTTAATGGCATTATATAAATGAAAAAGATATTTATATATTTAGTGGCCACCATCCTACGCTTATTTTATCACGGTTGCTTGCAACCTTCTCGCGACATGTTTTCGAGTGCATGCGAGCTGTAAGAAACCTGTTAGAGACCAAGCGACTAAAGACCGTTAATCGACCATGAAGTTTCAACTGCAACCTGCTGGCGACCTGCTGCCCACCGCTTGCAACCGGTTAGTAACCTGTTTGCAACTAAGCGACTAAAGACCGTCAATCGACCGTGCAGTTACAGGTGGTATGCGACTGGTTTTAGTCTGGTTACAGCGACCTACTGGCAACCAAGAGGATACCTATAGGCAACCTCTCAGTTACCAATCGTTTTCACTATCAGTCGCACTGGTTGTCGGTGCAAAAAAATGGCCTTCGTGTGTCAACGATCGCAGGCGACCTGTTTGCAACCTAATGCGACCACTTTAAAACCTATGGCAACCTTCTTGCGACTGAGGTTGCAAAGAGGTTGCCAAAAGGTTGCAAGCGCAGTGTGACCCAGCCTTAAGGGGCGCCACCGCGTCTCTTACAGGCTGACGACGCTGCTGCAAAGGTGTTTTCAAAGTCAGGTATCTAATTAAATGGACAACAAGATACGGATTCATTCTGACTGATTTCACTAAATCATTTAGATTATTTTCAGGGTGTATAAAAAAGGCATGAAAACTAGGATTATGATTAATTAAACACCATGCTGTATTTCATGCTGTGTTTCTGTCTTTTGATTATCACTTTGATAGTGGTCATCATAAGTCAAAAACACAGCATATAATGTATTTTACTATTTATAACATGATATTCCCGTAATATTTCCTTTGCCTTATTGAAATGTCAACCTTACCTGTTCAGATTTTAGTTTGGTTTGGGAAGAATTGAAGTTTTAATTAGGCAAAGGCCAAATAAGTATCTGACTGGATTTCAGTCTGGCCGGGGACATATATTTAACATTCTACAAGAAGTGTTATTCAAAATGCATGCATGGCCAATGCTGCTTTTTTGTACATGCTTCTTGCACATGGCAGATATATCTTTTTTTATATATATATATATTTCCAATATTTAAATATTTTTGTTGGGTCCATGATAAAAACAAAATGAGTTAAAACCATTTAATGTTATTGAAATAAACTTACAAGTAAACCTCATCGTTTTAGATTTTAAGTACGTTTGTCTCTTCGAACGAAACTTAATCTGATAATCTTTGCGTTAATTGTCCTCACTATCAACAATGTACATGACAGTGCAAACTCGTTACTCTCTTCAAAATTACTTTTCAAAGTATCAATCTTTAATCGCCTGACGTTATTGTTCCAAATAATAGATAAGCTTGATGCTTTGAGCCAAGCATTTGATCCGTGTAGGATTATTATTTAGGCATTCAACGACGGATGAGGTGCTTTGTATATTATCTTGATCATGAATCAATGTATAATGTACCTAAATGATTTCCATTCAATGTGAGTTGAATTTCAATACTTGAATTGATTTTTGTTCCAATATCAAAAAGACATATTTCAATTTTAACTGCACCACCTAAATATTTTAAATTTAAAAAATATCAATATTCGCTCAGCCTATTCTTTCTTTCTCCCTTCCTTTATTGGTGGAATCATTAATCTAACTTCTTACTTAGGAGCATCCATTTTCCATATCATTTTTTTTTTCAAATCTACAAAGAATAGACTTTTTTCAGACCCCNCCCCCCCCCCCCCCCGAAAAAAAGAAATAAAAACTGGAACGAAAACAAAGAGCTAAAATACTCCGAGACAAGCTATGGGTTATTAACTAACCAGTTGCTTCGTAAATGCTTATTGCAATTCTAGACAGATTTATTCTTTTGAGTACACGCCAGGAATAAAAGTCTTCCAGTCATTTGCATGCTTTACATGTATCTTTCAGGCATGTTGTTTCCAATTACGTATTTACAGGCACGAGTAGGCCTATACCCTAGAAAGAACCCCATCTACAATATCTTATTAATTTTGTTGATTTAAAAATATTTTGGAATCTACATTCTTTGTCCATGCGTCAGTGAAAAATTGTGATGTTTTTCTTTTCTTTTTAAGTGTTTTATGCACTTACGGAAAACGCAACGCACCACACTGACAGCCATTTAATGTCTTGAATTCTAATGCCTTCTGGAAGGGTGAGAGTTAAGGTAACATTTTTGTATTCTTTGAGAACAGCGGAACTGAAAAAATAAGTAGAATAGCGGTGAACATTAGTGGTTAACTGTCATTCAGTTCATTTTCAGCATCTAAAATTTGAAATTATTAAACAATTTTAAACGTTTTTGTCATCAATTTATATTTTTTAAAGATTGGATCTAAAGCAACCCACTTGCACCCATGAGGCTACTCCCATATTCTTGTGCAGTGTCTATGTCAATGATAAGTGACAAAAATGTCAGTAAGTCTTACACTACGGACTGTTATAGTTCGTTTCTTTTATTATAGGCCTACCTTCCCTTCTCGTCGAGGATCTTGATGCCTTCGTCACTTGGTGTATCCCGAGTTGCATTTTGCCTCAGTCCAATATAGAAGAAAGCATCTGATGGGGAAAAAATAATGTGTGGAACATATTCATGTTTAGACTTTTATTGTGGAGTGTGCATAAGATTACATTTAAGCTTTTGGTTGCACTGTGACATGCAAAGAGCGATGGGTTCCCCCTTAAGTGCTACACTGTACATGACACTATCCATCAGAAGCTAGCAATGAGTTGGAATAAAACTGAGGTCAAGTGTTTTTACGTCCGTTTTTTTTCCCTTTGTACGGCATTGCTCTTTGTATTCTAAGGTGCAACTTTTAAATATTTAGGTACCAAACATAATATATGTGGAGTAAATAAAATTAACTTTTTTAAGAAAACAGTTCTACTTACTATTTATTACGTTTGGCATTAAATATTAAAAATATTAACTCTTTTCTATGTTTTCCAATAAACCAAACAACAAGAAATTTGAATTTTTTACCTGGGCCCTGTCCATCGTAGGTGAAGCCTAGTATTTTGAACCTGTGACTGTCCACTGCGTAAACTGTGCCTTTCACACCGTGGTAAAGCTCTTGGATAGGTCCAATCAATTTACCATGATATTCAGCAGCGTTGCTGCAGCCTTTCGGCGCAAGTTAGTGAAGAAAAAGAATTGTAGTTAAAAAGCACAGAAAAGTCTGTTTCGATACTGAAAAATATACGCACAATAAGATCAAATACTTTCTTGTTGTGACTACTATAACATAAAATAATATGACACTAAATGATGTAGCCAGACCACCAGGGTCATTACCTAGTGAAAGGTCTCAAGGTGAGACCACAACGTCGGTTGTCGTTTAATTTTTCCACGTAAGTTCCAAAATTTGATTAAGATACATTTTTGATAGCATAATGATATTCTTTCGAATTTTGCAAAAGAATTCGATCCAAAGCTCATAAATGTTCTTAAACAATGACTGCTACATGTATATTTAACGTGAAAAGTTAAAAACCCTTAGAATCCCATTCGACCGACTAAATAAAGTAAGATATATACAAGAGTATCGCCAAGAAAGATAGGCGTCGGCTACTTACAAAAAATGACAGCGGCAATGCAGGCTAACAACAACATCACCACCGCGATGAGGTAAACTGTCTACTAGTATCTCCCTAATTTGCTTGATACGTTTATAAGGCGATAAGATATGAGGCGCACGTAGGGTTACGACCCCAAAATCGTCTGGAAATTCTAAGTAGTTGACCTACAAGTAAAAAAAAAACATTGTGCAGACAGGTATATGCGTTGCTTGCGGTAATCAATTGAAGCCTAAGTGAAATCTTCATGAATTAAACATTAGATCAGAAACTTTAACAGAAAAAAAACTACAATTCACACTTTACTGACTCTATTACAAGAAGTGGTATGTAATACATACCCAACGTCACTGACGATGTTACAGATCCTGGCGTAAGTCTTTACTGTCATATACATTGTGACAGAGTATTTGTTTCATCACACAGACCTTATGCTTTCCCGGCCCTGACAAGTGACAATTTGTATTTCAGTGTGTGAGATACTCCATACCAGATGACGTCATTCCTGTACAAAAAAAACTCTCACGGTACAAAATGTGCACAGAATTTGCCGAAGAAATATCTGTGAATATCTAGTATTAAAAATATCTCTGTGTCCTGGCAGAGGAAACCAGTGAGAGAGTAGGATCGGTGGGCATGAAAAAAAGGAATTTAAATGCGCCTTGAAAGACAAGCGCGTAATAAAGGAAGGACGTCCTTTTGTTGAGAGAGAAATACTCAGATAGATCGCAAATAAATTATTGGTTGTGACCACTGCAATGGGCAAACTTACTCAAAGGAATGAGTTAATTTTTTTTTCTGACAATGATATAAGAGCGATCAACTATTCCTCGTTCTTTTCGCTTGGTGAAAATATTTAAAGCCACGTTTTGGTAGTAGTGCTCGTCTTTCCAGCTGACGTTAGCTTATTTAACACAGACGCTCGTCAGAATTATCTAGAATCGTTCTCACATTTTCTCAATGTTTGTGTGTTAAAACTCATGTGTTGTAGCCAAGTTGAAACCTTGGGAAGTTCACTGTCAACGTCAGGTAACTTCGCGTGACTATATAAAACGCATGTTAGAGAAGCGACATGGGATGTTAGCTACGCCTCAATTAAATTTCTAAAAGATCGAGCTAAGACATTCATCTACATTTTTTCTGACTTTATCGTAGACAAATCATATGATGGCTTTCTTATCTTAAAACGCACTATTGTTTATAAAGTGATTTTGATAATAAATTTGCCAGGTCTGACTATCCCAGATGACTTAACATTTAATAGATATCTTTCTTTCTTTCGGCATCTTTCTACTGTCATCGACTAACATTAAGAATGCATGTATCCGATGTATTATTATATATGCACAAATGACACGCCAAAACATTGATTTTAGCATGACGAAAGACTTTCTTTTCGAAACAAGTTATATCATGAATAAAAAATAAAGTGGATGAATGTATACCTAATCTCGGTGGAATCGAACAGAACTAAATACCAAAAGTAAAACTTGAGTAACGGAAGAGCTTCAAAAAGAAATATAGTGTTGAAAACGAACCAGACGTGCTACTTAAATTCACGATTATATAGTACTCGGGCTAATTTTGAAAAATATTTTTCATTTATCATAGACACGTCGTTAAAAAAAATGAAAATAAAATATTTCAAATTAGGCAAGCTCGGGTAGCGGGGACAGGCGCGGTTGCGTGAAACGTGAAATTTCAGTTTCTTCAAAGGTTATTTGCCTCCTGGGGTCATAACTTTCAAACATAAAACCACAGCAAAGCACTTGGTAGTTAACACGTCGGTGAACGACCTAGGTCCGTGAACAACGTACCTTTTGTCTGTGAATGATTCTAATGATTCTTAACAAGTTTAATCGAGACAAATTTCAGTAAATTGTGAAATGAAATGAAATGTGTTTTCATGTCAGGTCCGATTTGATGTTCTTGGCAAACTCGATATCATTTTTGTTTTCCACGTTAACATACATTTTTTGACCAGGTTGGTTGAAGCGGTGTTTCATGCAGTTAAAGAGTTATTTCAATGCCTCTCCCCCCCGGCCTGGCCACTACATTTTTTATTTTGGACATATTTTTTTTCGCTAATTCACTGAAAAAAAGTAAAAAATGGGGGAAAAAATTGCAGTAGTGCAAGCACTGAGATTTCTCAACAAGTTTACAGCTGTTATTCTCGCACGCTCATATCTCTAAGTTCACTTTTCATGATATTAGTTTTTAAATACATTGCTAACGCTAACTTTGTTTCAGTAATTTTTTTCAAATAAAAGAACAAGTAAGCTTACTAAGGATTTTCACGATTTTTCCTGAACGTAGTTGCTTGTCCCACCACTAACTCAAGGTATTACACATTTTATCATTTGCTTTTCAACCTTATTCCGCAGGTGAAAGAAGTTTAGATCTTTTTAAAAACTTTTTTCTTTCTGGAAAAAGAAAAGAATTAAAGTCAAGCTGGTGTCATGTTTTTTATTACAAATTACAATACTTAACATTTGGGAGGCGGTTTCCCACTATCTACAGAACTGAATATCAAGAGATTTGAACTATTACATACGTAATCTACAGTATAGTCAATATCAGTTTACATCTCTTTGTGCTATGTGCTACATGGGAGGGCCTCCCCCAGTCCCGCTCCGAGCTATTTGCTGTTTTAAGATCATTATACTCTCTCTCTGCTCTGGCGGCAGCATTGCAATCTGCTGGTCTGACAACTGTAGTACTTGCATAATAAGGGCAGCCTAGAAATAGAAGATAACTCACGCTGGTGATTTGCTAAAACGCACGTTTTTTTTAACAATCATGGACTAGAACTCAAAACATAATTATGTGCAGAATCATGACGTACATGAGTAACTTTGACTTTCTTTATCTTGTACGATTCTTCCACAAGATCAAATGCTATTTTCCAAATGCAAACAACTGAGAATTTCAAACTTTCTATTTAACTTTGAAAACTGATGTTATTTTGTGGACGGTAACTTCCAACCAGTACAAATGGCCACCCACCTTTTCCTGATCTTGTGCAGAGATGCCAGCGCCACCTCCTGGAGCTCCCGGGCCAACAGCTGGGGACTAAAACAGCACAAAGAACAAGTTTCTACAAAGCCTTACATAAACAGATTTAACCACCATTTATCTTAAGCAGGTAACTTTTTCATAGAAACGAAACAATAAAGTCAATTGACCAACTCAGATTCATCAGTTGAGGAATAAGTAATTTGCTTTCTTGGTGTAGTTCAAAATTAATGAACAAAATAACCTGCTTGTAAAGTTAATGGAAAAGAATAATACACCAACAAAATTAAACAAACAGATGAATTATGGGCATTTTAAAGAAGTACGTTTTGCCTTACAGGATGTCTAACTGGTCCTCCTGGGCCTGGCCTTCCTCCCATACTCCTAGGGTCCCTGGGGTCTCTTGGATCTCCAGCGCCTCCAAGTGACCTGGGGTCCATTGCACCCCCTATGGACCGTGGATCTCTCATTTCTGGCCGTGCTGGACCAGGCCCCCCTGGACCCTGGGGTCGCATGCCTCTCTGATGCCCAACATCCATGCCACCAGGGCCTAACATAGAAAAGTAAAAAAAAATTGATTAAGTCAATAAACAACTGTACAGCAAGATGGTTTTTGAGTCAGTAAAAATAACTTTCCTGAAAATATCAAACATTTTCATCTCAATACCAAGTACGGCCTATTAAAGTAAGAGAAGCATGAGCCTGCTTATTATTTGCACAGCACAGTATATAAGGATATCTACCTGGGACACCCATGGGTCCTGGTCCACGTGATGGAATATCATGCATCCCCCTACCTGGGCCTGGCTGTGATACCTGTGGAATATTAAGACCTGCAAAAAAAAGATTTTCAATACTTAACTGGATGTGATAAGTTAGCAAGTTGAAGACTGACTACCCCCAAGTATCTTGCTCTTATTTCCTTTCCCTTTCTGACTTCTGAACTTTATGTGGCAACACCTCTCCCCTTACCTTGGCTGGCTACTGGAGCCATATTTCCCTGGCTGGTCACCATGTTCAGCAGACCCCCAGGCCCACCTGCAGAGAAAAAAAACCTTATTATAGAACAGATATCAAAAGAGAATGAGAAAATTTGCAACAGATTTAACCAGAGGACCTCAATCCAAGAGATAAGGGCACAGGTCCTTGCAGTCAAGGAGGAGAAGCCGTAATAGTGACATTTATCCGCTGATATGAAGCAGAGCTGAAGGATCTGTACGAGACAGGGCGGGACTAAAACCGTCAGTACTGCCAATGCTCACACTGGTGGAACCAATAATTATTCCAATTTTTTCAATTGGAAAATAGTGCATTTTCATTTCTTTTTCTTTCTTTTTCTTTTTTTTTTTTGAGCATTTGCTTTAAGACTAGCGTCTTTCAAAGCATTAATCTGAAGTAATGAAGAGTCACAAAATAGCAGCATCTGATATTTTAGAGTGGTTCCAAAATACTTCAAAACAGTAGCAACACTAGATAATGTAGCAAATTACAAAAAAAATTGCTTAGAATATTAAAGTCAGAAGACTGTTAAAAGGTATGCAGCCATTCTATTTTAGTCTACTTATATGTCCCCTACCTGCCAGTAAACCTGGTACTGAGCCTGGGACTTGTGATGGGGCAATGGACTGGGTTCCTAGGGGCACTGCGGTAGATGCCACTGGCTGGAAGAGTGTTCACAAAATTACTTAATTCTATAATATAAAATTCACTGCTCACAATGTCTATTTGATATAAATTTTGGCTTCACATCTGCAGACCCCCCTTCAAATAATCCTGGATCCGCCCCTGAGAATGCATGTAGAAATTATCTTAGCTGTGGCCAACAAATTTTTACAGTGTATTTTTAGCACTGTAACAAAATAGTGGTTGGTAAAAAAAATAAATAAATAACATTATAACATGTGGACATTATGATGTTCTTGTACTGTGGAAGTCTTGTGAATGGTCTTTTTTCATATGTGCTGAATGATCGGGTACCTGTGCAGGTTGTGCCTGGGATGCAGGCTGTCCTGGGACCACTGGTGGCACCTGGTGGGTTTCCCTGTGCAACATGGCCTTAAAAGAAATATTTTAGTTTCAATATTTTTCAAACTGCTGGAAATGCATTGACATAATAATACAAGCAGTTAATATTTCAAATGCAATGTGCATTGTAATGATATATATATAACAGCTTAAATGTTAATTAATATAACTGATAAATTGATTCTTATTTTCATTGTAAGTGACCAAAAATAATCTATTATAGTAATTAGTGAAAAATAATATGTTGGCATGAGCCCTGTGTATTCATCTATGTTATATTATTTTTTGAGTTACCATAGCAACTTGAGGGTCGACAATTTTCATGACAATCTGAGCTTGGAGCAAAGCATAGGCCAGCTGTGGGTTCTGTAGCAGCATGTTTCTTGCTTCGTTTGGATTGTTCTGGATGCACAACTGCAAAGATATAACAGATGTAATTTTAAAGACTTTATAAACCACATATATTTAATATTGCCATCCCTGGCTTTTAAAAGGTTTAATTTTGCTTTATAATGAAAAGGTTGTTCATCATTTTGGTTGAAACATGTATAAGTGGTGTTTTCATTACTTAATCAATACAAAAAATAAAAATTAATCGAATAAATCATTACCACCACGGTGTATCTTTTAACCACCTCACCTTCATCTGTTTCATGAGCTCAAACATCTGCTCTGGAGGTAAACTAGCCACTGCTCTTGATATAGCCTCTGGTGCTTGATCTGGAGAAACGGGATCACCAAAGGGGCTCTGAAACATTAAGAAGGATAGTATGGTAATAGTCAATCACAGGGAAGGCAGGACACATAGCAGCTGAACAAGGGTCACAAAATGGAAAATAGTAGCTCTGGAATAGGACATAATTAGTACTAGTAATAGTAGGATTAGGACCCACAACAGTTGGAAAGATAATAGACTTGAAAACTGAATGAATTGTCTTTGGATAGAGAGATCCAAAAGCACTGGCCAAGAGGCTTTGGCACTCTAACTGTCCCCAGTGGTGTGAGAAGAGTAAATAAACCACAATCAACCAAGACTAAAATTATGAAAATACTACAGTGCAAGATAACAAATACTGCTAACATATTACAGTGTTTGTGAATTTTTTTTACTAGTACTGAAATAAAAAAAAAAAAGTTATTAACAATGGCACACTTACCTCCACTGGTGCACCACCAAGAGCAAGCTGCATATCTTAAATAAAGAAATCATACTTTTCAATGTTTTTTCAATAAGCAAATTTATCATACAAAATAGACTTCATTCATTATTTTACTTTATACTGATTTATTCAGATTAAAAAATAAATAAAATAGTAAGCTTCAGTACTGACATTTCTCAGACTTCATTCGAATAGGCTCGAGCCTTTATTAGTGTCTTTCATATCACAAATTGTAATGCAAGGAATTCCACACTGCTTTATAGCTTTTTTTTTCAAATCCATCTCACTTTTTAATTCATCTTTGCTAGTTTCTCCTGCAGCCACACCCACTCTGAGGGGTCTTCCGTTGAATTCTGTGTTATTCAGGTTACGCATGGCACTCTGCGCCGTCTCTGTGTCTTGATATTCACAGAAGCCATAACCTTTAGGTTTGCCTGTTTCTCTGTCATACACCAACCTGAAAATAAAATGTAATGCAATAACAGGTTTCTTTTAGTTACCACAATAACAATGAATATAAATGGAAATGATTGCAACAAGGATGGCTGATTGAATCTGAATTAAGCAGAGAGACGCAACAGCATTTACAAGGACAAAAATATTAAAAGAAAATTTTATTGGTTTGCACAATGACTTTAAAGAAATAACATATCCTGTGGTTGTCAAGCAGTGATTGGATATCCAGCATCTAGTTTTTTTTTTCTTTCAATTCTACAGTGATTACCTAAAATTGTTTTCTAAGTTGTGGCTGATTAATAGATTTTTGCAAATAATATTCCAATCCACAAACCTTATCAATTACAATTCAATATTAAGACATGAGGCAATCCTGACTAACATACCTAAAACTGACAACAGGTCCTGCCTGTATGAATATCTCTTTAAGTTGTTCTTCTGTAGCTTCATATGGAATGTTTCCCACTGTAAAAAAAACAGGCAATATTCTAAATAACAATGACATCTGTTTCTCAAACATGTATCTCAGGTTTCATGATTACTGTATGTACACTGAAAACCATTTACTGTAATCTAAAAAAAAACTCTTATTTAAACAGTTTTGCTATGGTGGATCTGAAAATGTATTTCCAAATAACCAATAGCTCATATCACTTAATAGCAGAACTGAACTTGAATAAGATCAAGCCAAATGTAAATGTAAACAACTTCTCACTGTACTCAAGACCTTGTTTGTAGAAGTGGAACTAAAACTAATTGATTGGAAGCAGGCTATAATCCTAACGAGATAATCAATAATATCACTAGTTAAGACAGGACCAGCGTCAAATAGGGTTTAAAAGCAAGACTATCAATACTGTGACTATTAGTGTCGCTGCTGACTGTGTGTGCGACTCTGACACCTAAATACTGCAACACCGGTGTGTTCAACACTTAACACTCGCCGGTGTCTCAAATGAAGAACAAACATATTCTGTTCAATCACGAAAATGGCATAAAACAAAGCCCCTAATAACACAATGTAAGAGAAAAGTTTACTTACCAAACACAGACCTCTGGGCCCTTTCTTGGGCCGTGAGAGGAGGCATAACATTCGAGTTCATTATGTTCGCCATGCTTAACCGAAACAACGCAATTTCTCCAGAATCCTCGCAGTTTTTTTTTTTAGCGGTTGTCACGTGACATCAAACGAGACTAAAATGGCGAGCAAGGCAGGGAGAGCTGGATCAGAATGGATCAAGTATTTCTGCAGGTATGCTAACTGTTTACTTGTTTTAAACATGTTGCAATTCTAACCAATTGCAGTTTTTGCTACTGCTACATCTGTGTTTGTGGAATGGAAGTATGACACGTATTTTTTATGTGCTTATCAAGAGTAAATTAAAGTTATGAGACACTTTACTTAGTAATCATTCGGTCTGAGGCCTAAAACTGTTGTATGTCCCGTTTCCAGGACATCTAATTTTACACTTTCCTCCTTTTTTAGTTGTTAATTGCATGACTTGAATTTAATCACTAAAGTCTTCAGAACTAGGTCAACATCGTTACGTAATGTACTTCAGTATTGTCACCTGGCCGCTGTCCCCTTAATTTTTTTTAAGTATTTAGAAAGTTTTTTTTAAGTTTAAAAACATCTTCATCAATGCCACAGTAACAGTTACACTTGTTGTTAAATCATGTATATGCATGATGTGGTAACCAGTGATAATGATGCATGTAAGGTAAATATTTTGCATTGTTTTCTTTTTTTCATGTCCTGTGTGCAGCACTGTAAGTACTGTCGCATCAAAATCTGTTTTCTTTATCACTTAATAGAAAGTGAGCGGAATGTCTGGAAATGTTCATAATCATAAGTCATGTTTTCTTTCTGATTATTAATAATACGTACCTCTTTTAAATGAAACTGCTATTTGCATTGAAAGTCTGAACAACATTGATTATATATTAAGATTATGAACTGAATACTATAACTTTCAATACCTGTGTAATGTATATTCAATTGCAAATTATTTATTTCATTTAACATAAGCTGTGCAAATCTTACATACCATTAGTCTTGTTTGTTATGATTATGAAAAAGTAGGTATGACTGATGTTAACCCTCCCTCCCCCTTTTCAGCATTTTTGGGGTCCAGTTGCCAACTGGGGGATTCCATTGGCAGCAATAGCAGATGTCGGTAGGACACCAGAAATTATAAGTGGGAAAATGACAACAGGTTTGAATTTTTTATTTAATTTATTTATTTATTTATTTAATTTTTTTATCATGCATTTGCTCCAGCTGGATGCTATTGGGATTGAACAATAATTTTAATAAAAAGATTTAGAATGTGTCCTATAAGTGGAACAAAATTTTTGTTTTAACTGAAAACATCAGGCTGAAACTCCGGAAGGTCATTCCACAGAGTCAACAACGGAAGCGGAAACAACTGGACATCTCCAAACTCAAGTGTCCTCGTACCAAGACTGCATTTGTTCTCGAGCTGAAGAACCGTTTCAGCGCTCTAGCAGGAGAAGATAGGATTGAAGCAGTCAATGTCAGCCAGAAATGGGATACCATCAAGAGTACTTACTGCACCACAGCAGAAGCAGTCCTTGGTTTCAAGAAGAAGAAGAACAAGGAATGGTTAACACCAGAAACATGGAAGCTTATTGATGAAAGGAGAATCCTGAAAGAGAAGCTGTTGAATACCAAATCACCTAGGCTCGTAGAACAAGACAGAGCAGCCTACAAGAGCAAGGATAAGGAGGTGAAGAAAAGTGCTAGGAGTGACAAGAGAGCCTTTGTGGAAAAGCTAGCTAGTGAGGCTGAACAGGCAGCAGCACAAGGTGACATGGGTACTGTCTACAAGATCACCAAACANAAATGGAAAGAAGTGACTGTGGCCTTATGTCCCACGTGGGACGAAGAGCAATGATGATGATGATGATGATTAAGATTTTTATTTCATTATATAAAAATATAGCATGTATATCTTACTGGAAATGAAAAATTGGGATAATTTGCATTTTATTTTATTTTTTTAAACAAAAGGGAAGAACTGTACTGTTTTAATTTTTCAGCTTTATTCATCTATTCTGCACTCTTCATGAGATTTGCTTGGAAGGTTCAACCAAGGAATTTGTTGTTATTTGCCTGCCACTTTACAAATGATTGTGCTCAGTTGACTCAGGGAGGCAGATTTATAAACTATCAGTAAGTTAACTATCCCACAACATGCTTTGTATTTCTACACTCAAATGATCTTCCCTAAAAGGTGGAGCCACAATGCACTAGATTATTTAACCACACTTGATTGTAATGATTTGCTCTATTTAATTTCTATTCCCTTCATTCCTAAATATAATCACATGAAGGTAATTACACAATCTTTTCAATGGGCAAAATTATCAAACTTTCAGATACATCATTTTATAATCACAAAAATTTTATTTCTCTATGGCATTTGTGGTGCTTTTTATGCATAGGATAGAAGTATAACGAAATCGGTTTTACGATTTTGTTGCTACTTCTCAATAGGCATGTTCTAATTTTTAAGAAATTATGACTTAAAAATATAGTATCTGTAAAATTTACAATTTTCACCCATTGAAAAGATCGAGTATTTATAATATGGCTATTGTTTTTTTTTTAATTCAATTGAAATTTGTGAAAAAAGTGAAGTGTTTTGATTTTATTATAGTTATATCATGACAGATGAAGAAAGAGAAGAATATCTGTTAAAATTACACCCAGAAAAGGAAAAGGTCAAGGAAGAAAAGGAAACAAGCAGCAATAAAGAAGACACTGGTGTATAACAGTTCCTTAGTTTTATATAGGCTACTGTTTTATGTGTAATTATGTAATGATATTAACAAACATGCATGTTTAACTTCAGTGGTGTGTTAAGTTTTATTTGTCATATTTATGTGTGCAAATATATATATGTTAAAACTTCAGATTTCTATAATTAAGAAGAGGGTCCACTTTCAGATTTGTTCACTTGTGATGATACAAAGTTGTGGTTTTAAGTTTTTGTGTCATAATATTTGTAAAAGTTAGACAGATGATTTTTAGGATTTTTATCATAAATAAAAGTATGAAGATCAAGTAAAAGCTCTAATGGTAAGACTTACATCCATGAAAAAAAGCATATTATAGTGGAACGTTGAACGTTTGTTTTCATCCAAGAATAATTGTAAAATATGAATATGCCCATTGCAAAGAAAGATATTTGTGAAAGAAAAGAGGCGCAGTTTGCTAGCAAAACATTTTAATGAAACCCCTATCCCTGTCATGCATTTTTATAGCATTATTTTTTAGGGTAAAATCAGTTTTGGGTTATTATTCCCATCTCTGTTAAATTATTAAGGCTATTCTTTAAGGTGCTGTTAATTAGCTGAAGCAATTTATTTTTTAATGTATCTGTTTATTTTTTAGGCCAACATTCTGTTGAAACTTGGTACACAGTTGTTGAGATTTGACCTTGGTGAAAGTTTTTAGGAATGTCCCTGATTTCAGGATTTTTAGTCTTCATTTTTTTTTTTTCTGATATGGTTTAAATGCGATTAGAGCAAGCTACTTATTAAGGATTTTCAGTTTTTTCAACTTTCACCTATGGAATTCAATTTGACATGGTAGTAGCTGCATTTGTACTGCATATGCTAACAGACGTCCTAGTCTACTACCGATATATATTAACATAGTACTATATTAAGTAATAATATAAGATACAGCTGAATATAACTTTTACGTAGCATTGTCTTTATAATTTGCATTTGAGCTGCTCATGCCACCTTTGTTTTTTTAACAAAGTTCAATTCAAGGTTTTCATTGTTTATTCAAATATTTTTCTTTTCAAATGAGTCTGACAGTAAGTGTTTGTAACTGTTACTCACCTTGAATTGAAGAAAAATAGTTCAGTGAAGAATGTTCCTAGTAGCTAGCATTTATTTGATTTGCAACAGGTATTGCATTTTAATGTCATGCTGTGTAATACAGATCGGCAGTGGAAGTGTGAGCACATGCAGTGAAGAATCAATTATCAGGGCAGGTAATGGATATGTGCTACACCAGATATATACATTGCAGGCCATTGGTGCTGTGCATGTTAGCTGTGATGTAGTGGGTGACTTTATTGTCATGCTTGCAATTGGCATAATTTGACCTGAAATACACAGGGGTCACTGATGTAGGCAAAAAAGCCAGGTTGATCGATTTGCCAAGAAAAACCTGGTTACGTAATCCTACGTAATCCATTGATGGTTTTGTTCACATTGATTTAAGTTAACGTGAACACACCTGTGAACATGGTCTGTAGTCATATAGCTATTCTTTTTAAATCTAGTTTGCTTGAAAATGGCATTTATTGTGAGCATTTTTAAAAACACTTTTGGGTTTGCTTTATTGATATTTTCTTAGTGCATGCTGTAGCTCCTGCCTAAAGCAGATATCTGTTTTCAGTTCTCTCTCCAACGGAATATGAAGTCACCATATTTTGATTGCTTGTATACATGTATGTACCAGTAAGTTTTGCATGAAGAGAAGGGGTTATATATATGAAGTCAGCATTTCATTGAAATGGTGTTTACAGAGTCTTATATCTGTAACACCATTTCTTGCTTAAAGTCTTGTAAGTAATGACTTAATCTTATTCAAGAAGATTGTCATTGGAAATAACTTGTCAAAGAGTTAAACTTACTTGATTGCATCAGGGAATTAATGTGATACATATGCATGTATGTATAACTTGTTTGTAAATATAGCAGCAATAAAAGTGTTAAACTCTGATTTATTTTAAAAAAATGAATTTGGTTCCAAGTGTTTAATGCTAATATGTGTACATGGATAAAAATACTGATGTGACGCATGCCATTTTTAGATGCAAAAAGTGCATAATGTTATCACATGGGTGGTTATGATATTTTTGGCATATACTGAGTGTCAGTTTACATCTGCAGTAATTCCTTTTAATGTCATACAAAAATCTTTAATATTTCTGTGATCCTTCTGCAACTCTTGTAAACTGTCTCTTCTGTCTACTTATAGGAAACTTTTTTTAGCTGCAGCATGGAAAGTGCTGCAAAACCTGAACAGTCACAGAATGCATGAACAGCTTTTATACCACAAATTTCTCCAATTAAAAGAATACATGTATCACAGTGATGGTGCATTTTGCAGTTGGTACAATTTCTTCATTTGGAATATATAGGGATAGAATCTTTTTCCAAAGTTTACTTTAAATAAAAAAAAAAAAAACTGGGTCATAATGCTGAATCTGAAATGACCGATATGACAGACAAATATGCAGGTTGGTCAATAAATTTGGCAGTCATACTTCCACTTTTGCAAGCTCTTTATCTTTGATAACCTCCTTCAACATTGGAGTGGTCATGGGCCAAATGTCAGGGTTGAAGTTTTTAGCCTCAAGCTCCTCTGTTGACAAATTTCCACGCCCATGTATTGGCATCTTATCCCCTTTCAGTGTCAACATCTTCAACTCCAGTGGACCAAGTTGAAGAAATTCCTGGAAAAAAGATACAGAACTATTCAAAATTTTCCAATCAACTGTTTTTCACAGTGTGTACTGATGGTATAAGATATTCCTATAACTCAATTTGTGGTAAAACATGTTATTCATGGATAAATTTATCATAAATTAAAAGTACCTGTGTAGGACAAGGAAATCATGAACTTAAAAAATAAATGTCCCATTAGAAGGTAATCCCTTATTACACTTGCTATTTATGCATATTTACATCAGGTTCAGTATCCTCTTTTTATACTTACATCATCTCCATCAAATCTTGCATCATCATAATCAAAAGGAGTTTCGAATGGATCCCCCTCTGATCCATCTCCCTCTCCTTCATAACTTTCTAAATCTGGAAATGAATTTGAAGGTGACATCAATTAACCTGCAAATATTCCAGTAGTTTTCAATATTAGAGTCTTCAAAGGAATGGTATGTCCTCCCTTAAACATCCCCAAACATGCACTGCTGTTCTAATATGATAAAAGTCAGGTGAACAAACCTTCATCTGAGTCTTCCTCAGCCAACTCTTCCCGAGACATGATGGACAGCACCTTATCTTGCACAGATTTATACACAGCACTTTTTGGCCTTGCAGCTTTACATTGAAAATATAGTTATGAAGAAAAATAAATTCCATATTTTCATAATTAAAAACAAAGATATAATTATCAATATAACCTCATTGCTTTATCTTATCTTTGCTTTATTAGTATATGATGTACACATAGGATAGACATATAGTAAAATTTACACAGTTTTTCAAGTTGTTAATTTAATGGAAACTCTAAAATTATATAAGCAGACATTCCAAGGTGATATCTTTCCTAAATATCTAAAACAATCAAGAGCTATGCTGCCCATCAACTCACCACTGTCCTCAATGGCAAGTACATTGAGATCCATCTCCAAGATTCCATCATCTAAATTCTCATTGTCTTGAAACTGGGTAAGGTAAAACTGCCTGGAATTGAAATACATTTATTGTACATTTTCAGCAGCATGAATTTGTAATAAAAAAAGGTTTAAAGTTAATTAAGGTTTAGTACATGTGCAAGTTTTACATGATACTTAACATGTCCTACAAAATATATACATCAGTTACTTTATTATTTAGAAAAAAAATATTCATAAAAATAGAATCAAAAAAATGTAAGTTCCAGAAAAAATACAAAATTACAAATGATAGCTAGTTCTAGATTACCTAGAAATCTTAAGGTCATCAGTTCTACACTCAAACAGCTCACTCATTATTTCAAGGTTTTCTTTTTCTAGTTTTTCTACAGCTTCTCTCAACACTCCTGCCTCTTCATCATGAATGTCCACCTGGAATATTTCAGTTGCATTACTTTGAAAATACTGGAAGACTCAAATCATGTTTCTTAAAAGTTTAACAATTAAACTTTTAAAACTATATCCTTCATAGATATCAAATAATTAACAATAGTTGTGCATTTGCCTCTTGAACATATAAATGTATATCAGCAACAAATAAATCTCATATTTTCTCACCTCTCTCTTGAGCCAGTTGTTGTCCAGCACCTCCTGCCTACTATTCTTATCCATCTTAGCAATAGCTTGCTGCAGCAAACAAAATAAATGAGGTGAAAACTTTAAACATAAAAGTTTGAATTGCATTAACTTAGAAAAAAAGACAATTTTGTAAATTGTTTTTGAATGAAAAAATATATTGTTATGAATTTCAAATCATGGATGACAAATTAACAACAAAAACAAAACTTGCCAAGTTTCATATTAAGCCAAATTCCAAACTTTTGTCTTATTAGAACTTCACAACAGATACCACCAAATAACATAGCTATACTTAATAACTTTGTTTAAAAGATACTTTAAAAAATATTTCCAATTACTTCTGATGCATTTGACTTGGTATGGGCAAGAGTTTCTTCTGTATACTGTTGAATCTCATTTTTGGCAGTAATAAGGGTTCTTTCTAAGTGAGCTGAAAAGGTAAGAAAATTAAAGAATTTGCATCATCCTTTATTTGGGTGGTGTTTATATTTATGCCGGTGTCAATAAATAATGTATTCATTTACCTTTGTACAAAAATAGAAAAAGTACCTGTAAGCATGTAAAAATAAAATTGTCTGTAATTAAAAGAGCCCTCGAAACAGCAAATCATTCTGAAAGTTCCTGAATCAAATGAATGATTTTCACAAATTTTAAAAATGAAATACAAAAAAGTCTAATTTATTGTTTTCTCAAGTCTCATCAATATGTGATATTCCTGATGCAACTTTTTTTTTGCAAAGAACAGTATTTAAAAAAACTTACCAGACATCTCTGTAATTGTGACCTCCATGTCTTTTAATTCTTGTTCAAGGAGAATAATTTTTGTTTCATCTGTCTTGTGACCTTTGTCTTTGTAACTTAGCCAATAGGCAACATCCTTCTGTACTTCAACAATCTCACTATCTTTACGTTTAATTTCCTCTCTGATATCTGTATAAAAATTGAAATGAAATACATGTATATTTGTTCTCTGTTTGATACAGTACAAGATTCAAAGAAAGAAGGAACTTTTTAAATTTATTTTATTATTATCCTTATTATTATAATTACTATGGATATTACATACTGAATATCACTTGGATATTTAAAAAACCATTCAATTTTATATGCCAGAACCAAGTGCTAAGAAAAACTTGATTTATCGAGGGTGATTTATGCTAAAATTACAATTTGAAATAAAGTGACTTTCTTTATCCTCCTGTTACAGCTATGGCGTTTTACATATTTTCATACCTTCTAATTTTTTCTCCTCTTCCTTTTGTGTCTGCCATTTTTCCATCATTACAGCAACAACTTGCTCCTTGTTGGTGTATTCTTGGTTTTCTACTTGTTTCTCAAATTCTTTAGCTTCTCTCAGCAGGTTCTTAATACAAAGTGCCTGTTCACCTTTAAGTCTGTCATTCTGAAATGACAAATTATGACAAAGATTCTTAAGCAGGATTTCACAATTTTCTCAAACCCCTGACAACATATAAAACTGTGACTTCAAATGTTGTTTGTAGTATCAGTAAAACACATATTACTTTTGATTTAATTTTCAAATTTACACACCCTATCCTCATGTCTTGATTTCTTCTCTTCAAGCCCCCTCAGCTCATACATGTAGTCCTCCATTTGTTTTTCTTTTATACTTATTCTGAAAAGAACATTACCACATGAAGAACAAGGACATTTTAAATCTAAGACATGGAAATTGACAAATGCACTGCACAGGCTATTACATTAAGTATGTGATGGTGTTAAATACCAGATATTTTATGCCTATCAGAAAGTGCCTACTCGATGTACATGTACAAGATATAACATAATGATATACAAATCAATGTATTCATATACTCACTGGTAAGCAAGGATAGCCTCTTTGTATGTAACCTGAGGTTCCTTTTCTTTCTTTTTCTTGCCTCCTCCTCCACTTTTCTTTCCCTTTTTCCCTTTTTTGCCCATGGTGGTGAGTTTAAAAAGCTCAAACTATTTAATTTCTGAAATAGAAGAACAGCTTTAGTTTTCAGCATGCATTGGGTACACTATCCTTACTTTTCACTGACGTCACAACTCCGAGTGTGCTATCCCACAATGCCCCGTGAACCGCCATTTTTCTACCCATGCTATCGAGACGACACGCACGACACGCCGAGCTTTGCTGTACAAATCATCGTTTTATTGTTGAATTTTCACTTGTTGGTTGTTCATTTGTTANGAAAACTACGACACATGCCACAACCAGTATAAATTAGAACTCATTTGAGGAGTACACTGCGTATATTAAGACCAGAAATCGGTTACATTTACCATGTAGCTGGATACAAACACAGATGACATACACACACCTGATTTTAAAGTTGAGTCCTGGCAATATAAATTCATGTCTATCAGTTTATACAAGTCCTTGGAATAACAACCGATAGAGTCTCTCTCTCTCTCTCTCTCTCTCTCTCTCTCTCTCTGCCAGTTTATAAAGTACCAGAAAAAATTAATTCTCTCTCTCTCTCTCTCTCTCTGTGTGTGTGTGTGTGTGTGTGTGTGTGTGAGTGAGTGTGTGTGTGTCAGTGTGTTTTAACAGCAGCAGAAAGAATGCATTTTAAATTTGAAATTATTCTTTTATGGTGATTTACCTTTACACTTCGTCCGCCATTGTTGTTTTGACAACAGTACATGCAGAGTCCGCTGAAAGCCAATACTTTAGTTTCGGCTGTTGAATTCGCACTACAAGCGTTCTACATTTAGCCTACGTACTTGGATGGCAGTTTGACTGTTAATACCGTAAATATACTAGCCCATCAAACTTAATCTCTGTCATACTGTCATATATATACACACACACACACACACAACATACTTATCATGATAAATGTATTCATTTGTTCGTTTGCGGTTATCTCAAACACTAATTAATTTAACCAAATTTATAAAATGGTTAACAAGCGCGACTGACCCTATTTTTTTCGCACCCATTTTGTTTGCTGCGAAAGGAAAAATGCATTTGTTTGATGAGGGGGAAAATTACAATTGAACTCCTGTTTTTTTTTTTTTTTTAATCTTTTCATGCTCTACAATGTAGGCCCTACTGTTGAGTCGGCAAAAAATGTGGATTTAACATTTCCACTTCACCTTCTATCCTTACCCGAAAAAGCGTAAATGAGAAAAATGCACTGACCGATACTAAAATTTAGCTGCTACACTTACTGCCACCTTTTCGATGAATTTTCACTCAATAGCACTGTACGGGATTAGGTATATCACAAAATGTATGGCTTTATAGTTAAAGTCACATCCCCGTAGCGCTAAATACAAAAATCAGATGCCAAAAAACGCAGTGTCGGTGCCATGTAGCTCACGACACCGTCGTTGTGATCAGACTGACGTAATAAATGGATTGAAGATTGAAGGCATCTTTATGGATTATTATCAACATTTTTATTAACTATGTGACAATAACCAATTAATGTAAAACGTATCAGTATATTAAAACGGCAATGAATTTTGAAGAATATAATATTTGATTGCTGCTACCGTAAAACGGCAGTTAAAAATGCTGCCTTTTTATACAAACTACAAAAATCACAGAAATATCAATTAATTGCTCCAGATCCGATAAGAGGGACTTGGCAGTTAAAAAAGTCATATTCAATACTGAAAGGGCCCGCCATTCTAGCTTGTCCGTATACGGCCCTTGACCAAACGTAATATTTATCTTCATAGAAGAAATATGTCCTGTGGTTGTCCCACCTCATGGCAGCTCGAAGTCTTTGTTTTGGAAGTGCACGAAACTGAGGAAAATCGTTCATGTGTCTTGGCTTTCCTTTTTCGATGGGATCCTTGCCGTCATGGCCATAAATGTTGTCACCTACGGAGGTGGGAAAATAACAAAAATGGTTTGATAAAGCTCCCTTGTTTAAATAAATTACATGTAGGCTTATCAGCATATCATAACTAAAAGGCAGTGTGACATAATAATATTTGATTAAAGGGAAATCCAACACTGTAGGCCTAACATGTAGAATAAAAGTTCAAATAAATCTTAGCATAAGAACATGAAAGTTCAACGTGTTTATATGGATCTATAAAGTGAAACTCTTAAAACCCAAAAGCTTAATGAACAAAAGGTTCACAGTGCTAAATGTTTTCTTGAAAGATTTCGGGTTTGAATATCCACGAAAATGAACTTAATGATCAACACTCTTGGTCCAAAAGGTTTTCCCACCTCCAATTCCACGTGTTTTTGTTTACAAATGATCACTTCATATCTTTAAACAATTTGATCAGTTTTTCTTTTTCTAGATACCATATCTAACATGACCAATGGCACAGAAAATGCCTAATACCGGCGAATTTATCCTTATTTTACACCATTCCTTAAAATTTAAAGCATGTACATGCACTCGCTCTTTTGGATGATGTTCTACAGTGATTTAAACAGAGGTGAAAATTTTCAATGAATTTAAGAAGACACCAACAAATGTCATCAAATTTACAAACAATTAGCATCAGCAAGTGCTCTTTTAAAGCCACGTGCCTAATAGCATGGGTCTACCACGCATACTGCAAAGTATCACCTGTAGACGGCCTTCTGCTCTGTGGACAATTGTCTAATTCATCCAGGAAAGCTTGGAGGGATTGGTTTGGATTATTAGGGGTTTGAATCTCCTCTGCATTGCTAAATCCAATCCATGAAGCAGGTGCAAATTTAAGGTTAGTATCAAGGCTCAAAGAAGGTTGTTCGAGAACAATACGTTTCTGCAATAAATCACTTACCAGACGAGAATTGTGAGCTTGCGTGAGGTGATCGTTTGCAAAGAAACACCCTTGGACTAAGAAGTGGGGTAACCTTTTTGATCAATGGTGTATATAACAAACTAAGATAAATCAACTATCAAAAAATCATTTTCTTCTACCTTGAAAGAAAAGAAAAAATGAATTCTATTCCCATTCCACCACAGCCGAAAACTCTGGCAAGATTTGGGGTTTATCAAAATAGTTGTGAGTATCTATATAAGAGATTGCGATGAAAGTGATTACTGAAAGTATAAGTGAAACTCAGAACACAGAGAAAAATGATCCGACAAAAATGTTTTGCTACCTTGAAAGAAAAGAAGAAATGACTTTCGTTCCCATTCCACCACAGCGTCTAAATGGGGTATATGCAATGCCCAGCCTTGTACTATAGAACGTGGGTATCCCTTGTCAGCATATATTTCACCATGAAAGCCTTCTCTGTACCGCCAGTATTGGCGATCCTAAGGTATAAGATAAATTATTTCAGTTTATGCTCTGATATAATTTGCGATATGACGAAAACTATTATTTTGCAAAATAACACAAAAACAAAATCGCTCGAGGTCCAAAATAGGAAAGCATATGCTATTTGTGGGAGACATAGATGAAGGTTCGTGAAAGAGATAAAGGTTCTTGGAAGTGGCAGTACTATATTATTTTATGGTTCCAGTGCTTAAACCTCGCCTGGATGAGCTTGCCGAATTCTAATATCATCAAGTAACTATGAACGAGCTATTAGTTACGCGTAGTTTCATATTTAGCAAAAAACTACTTGCGTCATCCTACCTGAAATAAGTATGTGAATGGAACTCCGTAATAGTATAAAGTCACTGCCGCGTCTACACGACCAGGAGCATTGTCGCCAAATACACTTGCGATTGGACTTGGGAAACCGTCTTCAATTCCAAACGTAGATTTATTTAGCATATAGACATTTCCATCTGAAAGAGTCCCAACAGATTGTAAGTTTACAACAAATGCATTATGTATAGACTGAACAAAGTACAATCTTATTCACAATTCACAAGCTTCATTTTTTTTCCAATCCATTAGACTTTAAACAAAAAACCTCTGTGTTTTCATTTAAACATAAAGACCAACATAAGCCGGCACAAGATGTTTCACTACGCACTCATGATCTGGCTTTATAGACTACCTTTGAATGCATACGTTTTTCCATTGGCAGCAACGGTTATGGCATCGATGGCAGACGGGCAGACGGTGACTCCATTCAAAAGTTCTGGTCCACGCCCAACATTCAGGATGTTTGTTTGAAGGACACTATTATTTTCTGTCCATTTATGAGACTCAGTGTTTTGAACATCATTTTCGGGCTGGGCGGCAACCTCATCTCGTTGTGCTGATGCTGTGTGCTGACGGGCGGCCATTTGCTTAACAGACGCAGCGGGATGCCTTCTATCTGAATCTAAAAACTAAGCAAGCGTTTCTTTTTGGCTCATAAAAATGCATTACGAATGTCATACCTATTTAAATAGATTTAACGAAGACAATACTTCTAACATTAACGATTTTATTGATAATATTGTGACAAATCTATCTGTTATAAAAATGACTAGGCCTTAAAAAACGCAATGTACCGATTACGACGTCCAACTTTTGCCTCCGTCTTGCCTTCAAGTCTTCTAGCGTAGTCTTTGTGTCGAACCATGGCCACATGATGCTGTCGGGGTCAGCAGAGTGAGTGAGACCAATCAAATGTCCAATTTCATGCACCATCACTGTATACAGGTCCAAGCCTAGAACACTTCTTTAGATTAATACTTCACATAGACTGCTACACTCTACCTTGGCTCTTTGAACAATTCGGATTTCCCGATTTCGTGTGATTTATAATTATATGCGTGGAAAAAAATTCAACTGAACTTTTCTTACGAAAGGCATCCTTACAAAAAGATTATTATGAAAGTGTCATTGAAAACACCTGGCAGTTTGTGTAATATTTTCAGTAACCTTTCTGTGAACTGTTCTGTAATCACAAACCGGACTATTACCTCTGGGCGATTGTTTTGTCCACAATTCTCCTTCATCGATGTATATAGTTCCACATTCTCCGCCTTGGCCAGTTAAGTCGAACATTGCCTTCGCCACCGTGCCACCAGCACCGTCAAACATGGGTGAATACGTATGAAACCCGTCGACAAAATTAATCTCAATATCACTAGTGCCATTTGTCTCTTCAAAGGTAATTGATATAACGTCTGACCATTCCTAAAAGATAAAAACAGTTATCTAAATAATTAGAAACAATTCATATAGTGAGCCTGTAAATCTATCTGATCGTTTCGTTCTATTTTTAATTAATTCGTCCTAATTTTAAGTTAAAAAACTTATCATTATCATTATCACCATTATAATCATAAGATAATGGAACTTATCAAACCTTCAGTTACAAAGCTATGATCGTAATTTTAGTTTCACTGTGTGAAGTGGTTTTAACGCCAATTGATACATATAGGAATACAAAGCGAACTGACAAAGTGTTAAACCTTTCAATTAGGTATAGTTATAATAGGCTTCAGGGCAACCCCCTTTCATAACTGGCGTAAATGGCGAATTCAACCCCGATCCTTCTCAAAAAAGGAGACAAGGCACACAAGAGAATGTTCCTTGTTCAGTACTGGTAATTGACGTCAAGTGTAGGGCCTATTGTCTATTGAAAAAGAGAACACTGTTGGAAGGAGAGGCGTTGGATTCTACTTGACATCCTGGTCCGCCACTGCAAGTGGTTGTTTTATTTGAAAAAAAA